CTTTTGACAGTGCCTTGCCACCCATAGTTGATTGTTTGCTTCAGTTGCACTACTAAGAACCGAAATGCTCCAGGAAAGCTCTTTTCATGCTGAGCTAATCAAAATGACCACCGCTGATTATAGTTGAAAGCCAAATGCATTTGTGTGCCATTGAGAAGGTGATTAGCTACACCTGATTGAGTTTAAAGTCATTTTTAGGAGGGGGTGATCCTTTTTACAACTCAGTGATTGTTTTCTGACATGTTGGTGTTATTTATATCTTTGACTTGGATGTTATAAGTTGCACTGAGTAAATACAGCTGGATAAAACAGAAACTGTGTCCATCTTCATTTCAGGCTGCAAAGCAACAAAATTGTATTTTTTTTTAAAGGTGGGTGATTCTTTTCTATACCCACTGTGTGTGTGTATGTGTGTGCGCGTTTTTGTGACAAATGAGGACATACATTTGTATAATGACAAAGGTATGACATAGGTATCACAAGGAGGTGGTAAGGTGTAGAACCATCTCAAGGATGATCAGAAGAAATGGACAACACCTGAGTTAAATATATGAGTGTCACAGCAAAGGGTCTGAATACTTAGGACCATGTGATATTTCAGTTTTTCTTTTTTAATAACTCTGCAAAAATGTCAACAATTCTGTGTTTTTCTGTCAATATGGGGTGCTGTGTGTACATTAATGAGGAAAAAAACTTAACTTGAATGATTTTAGCAAATGGCTGCAATATTGTTAAGAGTGAAAATTTTAAGTGGGTCCGTATACTTTCCGTACCCACTGTATATATACACATACAAATCACAGAAAACACAGCCGAACACAGATAAATAGATTGGTGCTGAATATTAGTTGATTTCGAAAAAAGAATCCTATCAACACCAAACAATATGGGGATACTGTTTCTATTGTTGTTATAGTGTTGTAATTCAACAGCTTGTTCTCCGTGATGTTTGTAGACTTGCACCAAACAAACTCTCATTTAAATTCAACACCCGGTGTTGTATAAATGGAGTTCTGCCCATTTTGTGAAAGTGTCTGAGGCGGGTTACTGGTGTTATGCGTTCCCTGTAACTGGTTTTATGGCAGAGCTTCTTTTCAAGGTCATGAAATCACACAGGAAAACATATATCTCTGGCAGTGCACTTTCAAGGAAACTACTAATAAAAGCATGAGATATTTAAAAGCTCCTATATTGAGTTCCTAATGCCAGTTTATCAAGAACGAGTTTGAGTTTTGTACAGTGCACAGAAATTACATGAAAAAAGAAACAACACAAAATTAAACCGTATATAATAAATACAGATTGTTGGCCAATATCTGAGAATCAATTAAGCAGAATTCGCACTAACAGCAAACTTAATGAGGACGGTATGTTGTAGTTACAGGGGAAAAGGGAAAAAATGGAATAGAACTGTTATGGTGATGAATGCTGAGAATAAAACAGCCATTAATGATTTTGTATTTATACTTGCGTCATATTTATCACTGACAAACAGAAGTCAGAAACAAATACCTCGTAATAAAAGTTTTCAAATGTTAGAATTATGAATAAGCCATGGCACAATTAGTACAGAAAATGGTAAACAAACTGTGTAAGGAATCAGTGTGAGTCTAGACAGGTGAAGTTCAAGCGATGGAGGCACAGCAGGTGTCAGTCACATGAAATTCTCGCTCTTGTCTCAGAGCCAGACTTTCACCATCAGCATAAAGTCTGGTAACACTGCAGCTTATTCTGGTCACAAATCTCCCACTGAAACAGGAATGGCCAGTTGGAATGACATAGGACGTTTATCTTCAAAATAAAACTTATATATGCATTTCCTTGGCTTATTGCTTCTTTTATTCGCAAGTCGCTTTGGATAAAAGCACTATCCTGAATGCCTCACAATCCTGCTGCCTACAGTGCCATCAATGTCAAGTTGCTCTCTTCAGTTAGAAAGCGACACTGCAGGTGATCTCAACTCATTAGAAAACAGAAGAGCACTTTCTGTTCGTGTGTCTTTCTTTTTATGACTCACATATGCACATATGTACACACACACACACACACACACACACACACACATAGAATGAGCGGTCTGTTCAATGGCAAATGCAGGGAAGTCATTACAGAAGTTTAGCACACATGCACAGTGAATCATCTCTGAATGATGGCACTTAAAATCATTAAGCAGTAATGCCAAGGCCCCCCCGTATAACAAACTGCTTTTGTCATCTTAGCATGCTGAACCCAGAGTAAGAGCCGTTGACGGACAGCGCCTACGCATCCACTTCATCAAACTAGCATTTTTAACATAACTTCACCTCAATAATCCAGTTAAACCTGAAGTTGTTTATTCAGCACCTTCTTTTGATGGTAAAAAAAATGACATTGTTACAGGCCGACAAACGTTATTACTCAGATAAATCACAGGATTTGGGTTAAGATGAAATCAATCCTGGAGCTTTGCAGTCATGATGTTTGGAATTAACAATCGATAGCAAGGATTTCCACAGTGTTTTGTACAGGCCTGATATGAATTACATGAAAAATAATGAGTGAAGAGAAGCAAGAAGAACAGATTTTGGCAATTAAACAATCATTTTAGGGCCTACACGAGTTTTACACGCAGTAATGCACAACAGAACTATTAACCTTGTAAAACACTTAATAAATGTTGACTTGAGCGATTGTTGAGAGCTAAATAAATACCAGTCTCTTTCTGTCTTCATTGTCTTCAAACAATGTTTGTAATAATCATCACAGGCCAATGATTATTAGTGTCAATACAAGTCATTTAAGAGCAATGGTGCTGATGTCCAAGCTCTGGCTGATTCATTAGGATCTGCACACTATTTAAAGGTCACAAGCAGCATACAGTGTTACCCAGGGTCTTGCACTCTTGATAATTACAGTTCTATTTGGGTTTCTTGCTAAGCAAAGGTCAACATAGGTGACTATTGACAAAAGTTGGTCCTAAAAAAATGGACTCGGCTTCTTTCAGACTAAGATTGCAAAAGATGCCTTATATATCTAGAACAACAGTCCCACCACTAAGACCAGAATTTCAGATTTTTTTTCTAATTCTTAAATGTGGTTTTCAGGTTGTGTGACTATGAAGTCAGTGAGATGGCAGTATTACATGCTCAAAAAAAATCAACTGTTCTACCAGAGTCAAAACTCTTGTTTTATTTGGATTACAGCACAGTGGACCTACCTTTTCACCAAGAGCTCTGAGACTGTCCAAGAAACGCTGCCAGAAGTCTTTGAAAAGGGGGCGGTCAATTTTCTTCAGACTGTCTTTTGTGCTGGCATCAACGCTGACATAAAGTTGTGTAATGGGCACAAGACTCCTATAGATAGAGAAAAGTAGTTGGAGGGATAATTAACTTAGCATTGTATAAAGAAAATCTTGCTTTTTAACATATTAACAAAACTGAAGAATATTGGAGTGTATAAGCATCAGGATTTAAACCATTTTTGGCCAGCCAGAGCAAGAGGCTCTATTGTATCATATTCTTTGTCATTGTGCATGTGTAAAGCATAATAAAGCAGCACACAACTGAGTGATTGAGGTTTTGAGATGAAAACTGGAGTTAAGTCAAGAGTAGGAAACGTGTACGTTCAGACAATGTACCGTACCAACTGCCAGAGCTGCATTAGCCAAAAAAAAAAACTCAGTCACTCAGTTCAGCTCACCCTATCATCATTTTAGTAAAGACATTGTCTTTCTAATTAGGGAATATCAGTGTCTACAGTGTAAACGTTGCCAGATTCTTTGTCATTGTGCATGTGTAAAGCATAATAAAGCAGCACACAACTGAGTGATTGAGGTTTTGAGATGAAAACTGGAGTTAAGTCAAGAGTAGGAAACGTGTACGTTCAGACAATGTACCGTACCAACTGCCAGAGCTGCATTAGCCAAAAAAAAAACTCAGTCACTCAGTTCAGCTCACCCTATCATCATTTTAGTAAAGACATTGTCTTTCTAATTAGGGAATATCAGTGTCTACAGTGTAAACGTTGCCAACCACTATGCAGTAAGGCAAGGTATCTGAGTGATAAGTAATGGGCAAAATCCTCCTTGTGGTTTCCCTATGGGCAAGTAGACAAGTCAATACAGCCACTGATTTTCAAAACAGACAAGCTGATATGCTGACCCTGTGTCTCGTTCAAACATTGGAGTCATCTTAAAAACATCCTGAAGAGTAGATTTACATACATTCTCGAAAATCTCAGCAGGCAGATGAAAACCTCCTCTTGTGTTCTGATTCTTAGCTATTTTTGAACTCCTAGATCTCAACAAGGCTTTTGACAGTCTGCCACAATATTTTCCAGATATTAGCATTTAGCATCACTGATACTGCTCTCCTCTGGTTAATATCCTACATTAATGAAAGGCATTAATTCCTACTGATAACCAAATCAAGTCCTGCTCCCATTGCTCATGGTGTCCCCCAGGGCTGAGTTCTGGGCCCTTTCCTTTTTTTAATTTACATAAATAATTTGATGGCATGCACTCAGATACCATTACTATGCCAATGAAATGCAAATCTATATCTGCTGACAGGCCTGGACAGGATTTCCACTTCTAATACATTTGTATGCATGACGTTAAAACGTGTGCATGTCTAACTTACCAAAACTCAGTCCTGAAAACACCAAAGTCGTTTTCTGTGTTTAGACATTTTATTGAATCCCTCATCCATTATACCAATCTAGGTCTGATTTTTGACTTCATCCTCAGCTTTAAGTCACACATGAACCACCTTGTCAAACATCTTTCCTCCACCTCCTTGCACCACAATATCTAGATTACTCGATTCAACTTCTTTCCTGCTCTGCCAATTTATTAAAGGTCACTGTATGAAAGCCCAACGATGCCACCCAGAGGTATCTTTATGTCTATAACCTTTTAAGGCTTGGAAAAGGCTGAACAAGTCAAGACATGCCCGGACAAGTATCAGGAGGCAGTCTATATGTATGGGTGGATAGATTGATTTGTTCATTGTGCAAGAAAATGGACTACTGCATGTTTATTTCTTCTGTGAGTGATTGATTAAAAAGTAAGTTATCCGTTTTATAGTCTATGCTAAGTCAAATGTTGACACTTGTTCAATACTGCTTAACTGTGCATGTTCCACTGCATAATTGATATTCATAAGCTAAAATTGTACACCTGTTTACGGTACATATTTAAATGATAAACACTTTGCCAAAATAATTCAGCTATTTAAATGCAACTTGAATGCCTTATTACCTGATATTTGATACTGTTATTTACTGTCACTGCTGCTGTGTGTAATGTTTATTTCTTTATGCTAGCCATATTATTGTTTATATTACAAATTTTATATTGTATTCTGTTTTCTCTGTTCATTGTAGACCACACACATGCATCCCTTATGGGCAAGTGCCTGTAACAATTCAAACATGCAAGGATAATTCAAATAAAATCCTTCAATTGGGACCTGCTCTCTTTCTCACGTTTCTCTAACCGGAAACTCCCCTCACCATTTCTTCTAAAGTTCGGTTATTCTACCTAATCGAACCCTTGAGCGTCCCATATGCTCGTACAGTCACCAAAATTCGCTTTTACATGGTGTTTCAACATAAATGTGTGTTGGCAGTGTGTGTACACCAACCTACAATGATAAAAATCTACCTACTCTTTTAATCCACATAAATCATAAGCAGTGTCTCAGAACAAGCCATTCACAGAATCTGTACAAAATGACGTCACTTTGTACAGGCCCCCACCCACGACTGTTGACGGACAGTGCCCTATTAGCATAGATCCCACTGAGTGACAAGCATTAATTGAGCCCTGTGGTTCCCCCATGATTTTCTTTGGGCCTACATGTATTACAAATGGCGAACTTTGTGTCTTCTTCACTCACAGAGATGAACTTCCATGCTGACGACATGTTTACATGCAAATGTGAGCATAAGTGTGATGTCAAAACGGACCGGCTCGGAATTGGCAGTCTGACCAGCCGGTCACTGGTCCAGGCTGATCATGCTAACTCCAGTTCCTGGCCAGTCTATTTTGAGTTGAAACTTCAAAGACACATTTTGGGGACACCTGAGAGTTGTATTACATCTTGTAAAAAGGGGCATATTAGATGCCCTTTAACAGTTCCCAGGTTCAGACTGCCCTCCTTGGGTCCTTCACACATTTAAAACCTAATTAAAACTCTTAAGTTTACTCAGGGTTATTCCAGCTTTTTTTATTCTTATTTATCTAGTATCTTTTTGTTATATGGTTTACAGTTGTTCAGTGTCATGCATTGTGAAGAATCCTAAAATTAGTGAAAAGTACTAAGGCAAAAAACAATACATATTATTACGCAAAAATACTGTAAATAATTTTACTGAATTCTGTTCTAAAATCTAAGAGTGAAAGTTTTAGAACTGTACTTCACTTTGTTCAAATGAAAATGGAGGAATAGAAGTGCTCTCTTGCCCTGCACATTCATTTCTGTCTACAGCACATAAATAAAACTACAAAAGAAAATACTATATAAATAATATACTGTACTAAAACACAAGCTCTTTAAATATATAAACCAATCAAGATCATTGAAATAAGTTTCAGCATCACTGATAATTTTAAGTTGTTAGTGTGAGGTTTGTGCCGGTGTACCATTACATCCTTTCCTCCTGAAAAGAACGGAATAAAACATTAGCATACTGATATGAGTAAAGCAGCAGGTCTAGGATCTCATTATAACAGCATTTAAGAAAGCAGGGAAGGTTCAGTGTTGGGACCCACAGTGAATATAATTTTTTGCCTCTGTTGGTTTGTTTATCATGCAGAAAATGCCTGCTTCAGCAGAGAAGCGTGACGAAGCTTGCAGCTACGAGATAAACAACAACGATTGACAAGTGTTTCTCACTTCCTCAGCACACTGTCAACATGATATTCCAGCAGCTGGGGTGACGGCCCCTTACCCTCAGATAACCTGCCTGATCTGTGAGAGGATTCGGCGTGCAGCATTCGGGAGAATGCGGTGAGGATGTATTTTGCATTAAGCTGGGGAGCAGAAAGAGTGAGAGAGCTAAAAGCTTTTTGGCTGCTCCTGAAAACTCATGAATTTAGCACAATCTGGTGGAATTGAGGGAGCTGGGAGTCAAAGAAGCTGTAATTTGCAATTCAGTGCATGATTATGGCTTATCAGTCCAGTTACAGCCCAAGTAGGACTTCAAAGACTGAGGGAAAAACTTCCAAGCTGGAGGATGTTCAGCTGTTAGAACTACTGCAGATATACAGAGAACAAACGCATTCAAAAATAGGCTTTGTACATGCCCGGACAAGTATCAGGAGGCAGTCTATATGTATGGGTGGATAGATTGATTTGTTCATTGTGCAAGAAAATGGACTACTGCATGTTTATTTCTTCTGTGAGTGATTGATTAAAAAGTAAGTTATCCGTTTTATAGTCTATGCTAAGTCAAATGTTGACACTTGTTCAATACTGCTTAACTGTGCATGTTCCACTGCATAATTGATATTCATAAGCTAAAATTGTACACCTGTTTACGGTACATATTTAAATGATAAACACTTTGCCAAAATAATTCAGCTATTTAAATGCAACTTGAATGCCTTATTACCTGATATTTGATACTGTTATTTACTGTCACTGCTGCTGTGTGTAATGTTTATTTCTTTATGCTAGCCATATTATTGTTTATATTACAAATTTTATATTGTATTCTGTTTTCTCTGTTCATTGTAGACCACACACATGCATCCCTTATGGGCAAGTGCCTGTAACAATTCAAACATGCAAGGATAATTCAAATAAAATCCTTCAATTGGGACCTGCTCTCTTTCTCACGTTTCTCTAACCGGAAACTCCCCTCACCACTTCTTCTAAAGTTCGGTTATTCTACCTAATCGAACCCTTGAGCGTCCCATATGCTCGTACAGTCACCAAAATTCGCTTTTACATGGTGTTTCAACATAAATGTGTGTTGGCAGTGTGTGTACACCAACCTACAATGATAAAAATCTACCTACTCTTTTAATCCACATAAATCATAAGCAGTGTCTCAGAACAAGCCATTCACAGAATCTGTACAAAATGACGTCACTTTGTACAGGCCCCCACCCACGACTGTTGACGGACAGTGCCCTATTAGCATAGATCCCACTGAGTGACAAGCATTAATTGAGCCCTGTGGTTCCCCCAAAAAAATATATACTGCTTTAGAAAAAAAATCCTGGTCCATTTATCGAAACTCAAAGGAAAAAGAGACGCTCGATAGGAACAATATTACATTTCTGAAAAATAATAACTAAAATAGTAGATCGTGAGTAATTTTAGACAATACAAAAGTTTGACATCTGTACTGAAAACAGATGATCAAAGACAGATGTCTTGAGTTTCGAACAGCAGAAACTTTAATTTGCGAATGATAAAATCGAATCAAACTGACTTTGTGTGCTGACTGTGCCACCCCACCTAATAACATTCCCGGCAGATATCATCAGAAAACTCCCTTTCTTAGCTGCAGATCTGTTTTGTAGCCATCTACGCTAGACATCTCTGCTGAATTTTTCAGACTACTGCAGACGGAGAAAAAAAACCCGCATCAAGCAGTCTCCAAATCACCCCATATTCTGGAGTATGAAGGCAGTGCGGTAAAACAAAACCAGTGATGTTAAGGGAGTTGCTTCAAATGCTAAGAAAAAGCACAAAAGGATTCAGTTCACATCTTAAGATCCTTAAAAACCCATCGTGTGTGACCCCTCAATCCCACGAAATTCTGATCCAGATGTCCGCAAAAGTAATTAACTTCTGGATCTAGCAGTGAAATCACAACCCATTATGAGCAGACGTTACCTGATTGTTGAGATGAGGAATGAGCGACAGGAATGTGTTACGTCCCAACAGGCACATTTTGGAAGGAAAAGAAAATTTGCTGGCATTAGATTGTTTTATGACACAATATTGGTATGTCGTTGCAAAAATAGTCCTAAGAGTGGGGGACATCATTTTCTGCCATGACTTACCTAAATCACAAAGAATTTGCCATCAAAACAGAAATGATTTCCCTTGGTAGTAACATTTGACTTGATAAAAGCAGCATGATTCATTCCACTGTTTAATTTACAAATGTGTCATTTAGCTGGTGCTTTTATGCAAAGCAACTTAGTCAGTGAGAGTTTGGGAATTGGCTCACTATCAATTCATGAACTTGAATTTAAAACAAATTGGTCACAGGATATTCTGTATTATTGCAATTAAAACTACACTTACAGCATATGATTTTTTTTACCATTTTAATTCTACCTCCTTGAACTCAAATGACAATTCTGTAGTCTGTTTTTAAACATTCTTAATTCTGAATGGCATACAATCCTGCATACAGTCCACCCTTTAGTTTTGAAGACCATTTGATTAATATCATGGGATTGAACCTACAAGCTTTCAGTTAACAGCCCAGAACCCACCACACCACCCCAAAACATAAACTTCATGAAAGAATAAGTCAACTTTTGTGCAGTCTGTGATTGGAGTACATTTTCTTTTTACATCAGATTTCAGCATTAACCATCAATTGTTATATCACCCAGAAAGTTTGCAAAATGTTCTAAATTAATGATGAAGATGCACAAGGAAATGCAATGGGAGATTTCACTTCAGTTATGGTAGCTGAAGGTCAAAACAAATAAGCAGCGTTGTGAACCTTTTTTAATGCTGCAATCACAGATATTTCCTATTCATATGGAATTAAGACTTTTCAGAGAATGCCAGAGTTGGAAGAAAAACAGTATATAATCTGATCAATTATATTTTTCAGAGGTTGTTTGAGGAAAAACACACACACAATTAATTCAGATGTACTGTATGAAACACCAATTATTATCCAGAAAGGAAAACTAATTTCATCCAAATGGGGCTAAAGAAATCATTTCTTTACCAACTGTACGCTCTTTACTGACACCCAAAAAAGGTATAAAATAATTTTTTTTAAAGTTTTTAAAAAAAAAATCAAATTAAAATAAAATCTATAATAAAATAAAAATGATTAAAAAAAACTATGTCCCCTAAATACGTCTGTATGGTCCAATGAGATCAATATAACTCTCATAACTCAATGTTGCTTTACAAATGAAGTCTCAGCGAGATGCCCTTTCCATCTGATCTCAGCCTGTCAATCTGATCCAGCAACAAAGCTCATCCTCTTAATGCTGCTGAAAGCTGATGGATCCACTACTGATCTGATGCAGCAGATGCTGAAGAATGTGACAGGGTGCAAATTAATAAATTAGACCCAGTCGAACTGCACTTAGAGTCTGTCCTGTTACTGCCTTCTGCAAACCGTAGTGACAGCTAAATATACCCCAGTGTCTGTTGGACAATCTCTGAAACTGGGAAGGTGTTCAGAGTGTAGAGACGTCAACATAGTGTTATGTCACACAATGCTTGAACAGCTTCCAACTGGATATGTGCCTCTGAGGAAAAAGGATTTAAATATATTTGGCTATATTTATATCTCACCAGACAGACAAAAAAACTAAACTAGTTATTTCTGCACAATCACAGTATAAAGGCCTATTAAAAGCATGTGAGAATTTTCTACCTAAGTTTTTGGCACAACAAGACTTCCGAAGCATACTTTTATTTCACTTGTAAGCCAAAAAAAAAAAACAGACCAGAACGTCGACATTGGATTTGATGCACAAATACCTTTCATGTCATTTGTTGCAATCAAATTTGGTGTGCAATAGAAAGTAGACTGTGTCCAATAAGTGTATCTAGTAATCAACCAACCCTTTCAATCCACTGTTGTTTGTTTGAAGGCGGCAGAAGAGCTCAGCTGAAGGTAACAGACAGCGACGCTCCGGGGAGTCCTTACCTCTGAACTGGCGAATCATGTTCCTGTGGTTCTCCACAGCCTCCTGAATGATCTTCTCGGCCGGGTCCATTTTCCAGCGCCACTCCGTGCCCACTGGGTTGGTGTGGTGTCTGCACAGAGAGAATTAGAGAGGACAGATCCTGTCAGCACGTCACCATCATAGCATTACAAGCCCCGGACCACAGACTCATTCCCCTGAGAACAACACCTGCACCCCCACTGCGCACAAATTAGTGTCCTGTGACCCTTTCAACAGCTCTCACATCACATGAAAGGGCACAAATGCCAGGCAACAGGGCCTTACTTCCGTCCCCTGCCGCAAATAGCAACAGGAGCTGAGACAACGCTGAATGTGACACCATACCCCTTCATTTCACCAGGGCAGGGGTAGAGCCAAAATCTATTATGAGGATGTATAAAACTAAATTTTCTAAAATCGACTAGTCAGTGGGTTGTCTGAACAGCTAGCAGTTTTTTTTCCCATTCAGTTTTTATTTGAAAGCTTAAAGGGATAGTTCACCCAAAAATGAAAATTCTGTCAT